AAAAAGGTATCTCGATAATTTGAGCGCGCATACTAACTGTAATTAACAGTAACATAAGATGGCCAAAAATCGGTTAGAGTTTGAGCGCGCATACTAACTGACCTTTAAAGACCGCCATTTAGAATCTTCCCAATTAGGAGAAATATCTTCCACCCCAACAATTGTACCTGAAAACCTGATTTTCACAAAAAAATGGTTAAAAAAAAAAGAAAAGAAAATTATTTCAGGCAAATCATTATATGATATTACCTCCTATTCTTTTTAAATGTCATTTTGGCTTTATCAACCATTAACCAAATGAATGACGTTTTGGATCTTTTGTACATATTTTTCTATTATTACCCTCATTTAGCTAATAAAATACACTACGTCTTTTCATCTCTATCTTCATTAATGAGGGTGATTATTGGTAAAAAAATGATTCTTAATTGTTGTGCAACTTCTCAAAACGACAAACCTTCTCTCGGGCGAATCTTCCCCCTCAAAACACATCTTGAATCTCATTCCCACTCCAAACTCGTGGCTCACAGCTTCTAAGTACTTGTTAAGTCCTACGATGAACTGTCTCATCCTTAAAAAGAAAAAAGGCAAATAAATGATATCAATCCAAGAAAATTTGTTCGGTCACAGAAAATAAATGTTCAAAATATATCAAACCTCGGCTTGTAATAAACAACGAAAAGGGTCTGAGTCGAAACAGCATGAGAAGCGGTTGCAAGCACCCCAAGGTGCATGCTATGACTCGAAATAACAGATGTTGGCATTATACTCGGTTGAAGGGCGTGGCGCCTCACCCCAACTCGTAATTCCTCATTCTCTCCTCTTAAAGAGACAAAAAAAGGGAAAATAAAAAAGTGTTGGATGATTTATATATGGTAACAAAATTTCGAAGAATATCATACCTTAGAAATACGAAACTGTCCCCAGCAACTAATCTCTTAGAGGTGACAAATGTGCTCCATCCTGTTGTGAGTAAATGCCTCCTCGGCTGACCTGCTCATTTTTACATCTAATACTTATCAATGGCTCGTATTTATCACACTCGACTAATATCATAACTCACATCTCGGAGATCAACCAATATTTATTATTTATGGATAATCAAAAGGAACCACTAGAGATTTTGAACTAAAATATGCTTCGAAAGTTATCTCTTATAGCGTTGCTTTTAACTAGCAAATGTCTCCATTTCGAGAATGCACCTCTAAATATGTGCTTAAAATGCCATTTGATCCCATGCAGATCCTTTGCAACCAGTTCTTGAGCTGGCGTGGGCTGAGTCATATCCTAGATCAATCAAAGATCTTGATGTCAAAACAGGCAAATGCAAAATATATATATACATATATATGACAAAAAGTTGGAAAATTAACAAAGAAATAGAAAAAGGGTTCGTACCAAAGGAGGAAGGCATTCATTTGCGTGTTTTCGGAGGACTGAGAATCCGCCATGTGTGCTCGTGTCAGAAGCTGTCAAAACCTTGCAGAACGAGTGAACCACGGGCCTAACGGGCTCATCAGGAAGCTCATCCGGGCTTCTTGGCTCAGATTGCTGCAAATATTGTTAAGAGTAAAAGTTTAAAGTTTTTCCTAAAGAAAATAGAAAGAAAATGCCAGTTTGATTGCAACCTGGGAATTAACATCAAATAAAAAGCAAGAATTACTCCATGAATTCTTACATCTGCTTCTGGCATCAAAGTGATTTGTGCATACACTTCATCAGTGTCTTGTTCAGCCTACACGAGAAGTCAAATTTCCAACTAATTCAACTAAATTACAACATAATCGAGTAAATTAACACAGAACTACCCAATCTACCTGCACTTACAACAACCAAGCGTAAAGAAAAAGAAAAATGAAAAAAGAAAGAGGTAGAGAGAGAGAGAGAGAGAGAGAGAGAGAGAGAGAGAGAGAGAGAGCGAGCAAACCAGTAGCTGAGTGTTGAAAACACGGCAGAGGATCTTTGAGGGGAGATTGAATAATGGTATCCTCTGATTCAGTTCTTCATTCGTTGAAGCTTCCAACTTGCCAACCATAAAAATGGCAGACAGAAAACATCAAATGGAATTTTTTTCAAACATAGAATTTAAATAACAAGCCCCATGAATCCACACAAAGATCTAAAGCAAACCCACAACCCAAAATCATTTGGCCCTATACATGAAGCAAAAGAAGACAGATTGAATTTTCAAACAGAAACTTACTTGTTCCATATGACCCTGTGGAAAATAATACACTCTTTCCCCAGCTCTTGGAGCATCCACCAAAGGGCCTGCACAGGCCTTCCACAATTCCTCATACAACGCATCTTTCACTCCACCCCCTACCAAATTTACATAAAAAAGATGAGTAATTTATTTCCAAAATCATCAAAATTGAACAAAAAGAAAATAAAAGAGAAAGGGGAAAAGAACTTTTGCTGCAGAAGTTTGACCTTCAGCTTGAAAACTGCTGTGCTGCTGAGTAAACGACCCTTTACTCGCCATGAAAACGCAGATTTTGCTCTCTTTTCGGCCACCCAAAACACCAAAAGATCCAACTTTTCGACGCTCAAACAAAGCTCATATACATAAAAAGTTTGCCAACCCAACAACGCCAAATTCGTGTTTGATTACATGATTCAACATCGAAGTCAAACAAACAGCAGCAGATAATGGAAGCCCAGAAATTATATCCACCTTAAAAGACGCAAAAACAATTGCCCCCTTTTTTATTATATTTCCCTCTGTGTGGAAAATGAACACCACCAGGACGTGTAGAGTGAGAAACGTCTGTACAGAATCCCAAGAGACGAGCTTGGTTTTTGTTGCTTTCTCTCTCTATATCGAATACTGTGATTGGTAAAAACCGTAAAATGTGCATTGGTTTTTCACAGAACGTGGTTGGGTTGTCTCCATTTTCACTGCACGGTGCGCACCCTCAGTGCGTGTGCTTGTGTGTGGGGCTACGAGACGGTAACCTAACTAACTATGGTTAAGGCTTTAACTGTAGTTAGGAGTTCCCTCATGATTCATGAGACTACGAGTGGCGGTGGGGGCAAGTTTTCGTGTCCCTGTCATTTTCTTTATTTTCCTTTTCTTTTTTTTTTCTTTTTTTTTTTGGGCCCTTTTTGTCTTTCTTCTCCTTGTTTTCCGTTTTTCATTGTACAAGTTGAAATAATTTATTTTGGTTGATATTTTTGGGTTCCCATTTTGCCACAATCATATGGCTTACTCATGGAGTTGTTAATTATTATTTGTAAATGATGTTGCTATGTCAAATTGAAGCAACTAAAAATATGTTGGATCAAAAATGCTAAGGAGCCAACTGTTGGCAGACATGTGGGACAGTTCCACATGGAGCTGTCCCATTGACTGTTGGCTCCATAACGGAGCCAGCAGTTGACTCCTTAGTATTACTGGAAACTTTTTCTCTCTTTACAGTAAAATCTCCATACTTATATATATATTGTAGTCCAGGTGTGCACAATGCGTCTTTCTAGTACAATCTTTTTCTAATTTTGGAAAGTACAACTTCATTTAATGTCTAATGATTATAACACGAATCTCTGTGTAAATCAACGATTTATGCCTTTGACGCGTGTGCTCGACAACTTGGTAGGTAAATGTCTTATCAGTAATTAATTCCGCTGCAAGTGGCGGCAAGTCATTCTAAAGGGAGTTCGTCTACTCGGGAATATCTCGGGTCACTCTTTTGATATGTATGACATTCGATACTTGTCGAGGAGCCTTTTGGTTTTACCATTGACTCGTCTTTTGACTGTGGACACGTGTTTTGAGGAGATTGGGCAACTTATTCAGATATCAACACATATATTGAGACGTGTTTTAAAATAAATATAATTGGAACACATGTTAGTACATTAATTTATGGATGATTCTTTTATGTTAGGTTCAATTTTATTGTATATGGAGTTTTGGATGACACGACTTATGGAGTCATTCACAATTATTACAAATGGTGCATTGACATATGTTCACAAGATATATTTGAGACACGTGTCAATACATCGAATGGCTCCGTACTAAAGTCTTGCGTTCACTATATAAATTCGTGCTACTATGTTGTAAAATGGTTAGTCAATCATATATTTTTTAATAAATGCACATATTTTTATGATTAAAATAATATTTTAAAATATAATATAATATAAGAATGTATTCTTTATAAAATAAATTTGTTTGTCTAGCCCTAGTCTATCAATAGTATTTATTTGTTTATTTTACTGTTTGTGTGTGTTTTGTGTGGGGAATCAATTACAATTATTCAACTACCTTTTTTGTTTCATTTTCATTTGACTTTTGGTGATGATTTAAGGTTACCATTTGTAAGAAAACATCGCAATCATTTGCTTTTCATCCCCCACATCAAGAATCGTATTTAGCCATTGTTCCACAACAACGACTAACTTTGAAAATCAATAATTATGTGAGAGATTGGTTCTAACCCCAGCACTTCTTGAGATTTTTGTCATGCTTTCAACTAACAATTTCTCATTTTTGGGTAAACTTTGTGCTATCGACACTAATATAATGTAATAATGCCCCATTATTCATTTCATACTTTGCCAAATGTTAGGTGTGTTTTTAGATTTTGAGCCCACAATTTCAAAATGTTTTATTATGTTGTTGAAATTGGAAAAAGTAAATATAATATAATGTGCAGGCAGTCATAATTATATATATATATATATATATATATATATATATATAAGATATACTAGTACGATATCCGTGTACTCCGCGGATGTTCGATAAAATAATTAAATGTTCAATAAAAAAGTTGAAGAATTTTTTTTTTATGTATTTTGTTGAGGTTGGAAAGATTAAATAAGGAACAACATATGAAAATTTATAATAAATAACTAAGTGAATTAATAATATTATTTTAAATTCTATAAATTAATTTATGTATATTATAATTTTTATTTATAGTATTTTTGTTTAAAACAAATAATAAAATAAAATTTGGAAAGTGAGATAATATGCACTTATAGAAAGAATATAATAAATAGATTCATATGAAATAGTTTATTAAATATGTGTACTTATGATCGACAATTCAAACCTAAGTTATTTGGCATAAAAAAATTAGTAATTTTTTATCCAAATTATATTATAATCGAAGTATGCGAAGCTGCCACTCAGCTCAGCATGTTCTGAAATTATATATAAAAGAATTTTAAAATTAAAATGTCAAACTCTTTAAAAAAATAAATTTATAATAGTATGTAACTTTAAACATATATATATAACGGATCGACCTGCTCAATAACTACGTAACCTCATAACAAAAACTCAAAAAGTATGTGAAAAGAGTGATGTAATTTACGCTTCAACGTTTATCATGAAATAATATGTTTTGATTGCCATGAATTTTTCTGGCCGTCAAAAAAGAATTGATAAAGGTTAGTTTTTTGTGTGAAATGTTCACTTGATATACTCATGCATAAAGTTATGAACTGGTGTGCAACTTAATTTGTCCAAGTCAATAGAATAAATGATTTTTCACTTGATTGACAAAAAATCTGGAGCCCATCTAACCCATATCACTCTTAATGAACTACTACAACTTGGGAAGTTATACTACTTGTGTTTCAGCAAGCAAAACTCTAGACACAATTCTATTTTTTTTTTTGTTAATATATATGTATATGTGTGTGTGCGCATAAGTGTGAAACAACATCACATTTAGATAGATCAAGTGAAAAATCATATATATAATAAAGTTTAAGATTTGTAGTTTGAAGTGACATTTATATAATATAACTATAAAATTTTGTTCATGGAAAATTTAAGATTTGTAGCTTGAAGTGACATATATATAATAAAGTTCGAGATGAGTTGAGGTTTAGGATTTGGGACATCATTCATGCTCGAGCTTCAATAAAATGCACTTCCAATCCGAGTTTTGGGTCTTGGGGTATGGGAGAATGACAATGTTCTAGATTTTGGTATACATTTCCAATCTAATTTGTGGGTTTTAAAAATTGGGATGGCTGATAATGTTCGAGCTTTAATTTGTCGAGCTTCCAAAATCACTTTTTATTAGAGCTTTTTGTCCTGCTTGATGAGGGGACTCAGTGTTGAGGAGACTCGGAGAATACGATTGAATATTGTACATTGTTTCATGTAATTTATCAGTTGATTAATTTATTATTATTATTGTTATTATTATTATTAATTTGACTTTTAACTTGCATACGTTGTAGTGCAACACCTTTATATTTATTATTTAGAGACTCCATATGCGAAAAATTTTGAGAAACTATATATTAAAATGCCAAAATTATAATTAGAATAGATATTGTAATTTATTTTGAAAATAGACCCTAAAATAATTGGATGTGAAAATAATTACTAAAAAAAGTTAGAAGGCTCCAATTCCAAGGAGGAAAAAACTGTCGGTTTGTGATTGGTTGTCGGCTCCTGTGCCGGCAACAGCGGGTTGGCTCCACTTCACCCCGGCACAAAACAAATACCATTATTGTGACCCCAACTGCCAAATTAAAAAACTCACCCTCCAGATTCAGTGAATTTACGAAACTACCACTCCTTCACACGGGCCCACACACACGTGGGAAAAGCTGTTAGTTTTATCGATGATTTGGTAGGAGAGCCTGTGCTTAACTCGGTGGTCCTGCGCACAGGTGATCAGATCAGATGCAGGTTACCATGGTCCATGGACCACTTCAATGAAAAAAAAAATAAATAAATAAACTAATAATAATAATAATAGTAATAATAATAATAATAATTCAAAATAATACTATATTTGTAAACTATTTATCGTTGTTAAATGCATTTTATTATTTATACTCATGGGGTTTTAGTTGGTAAGCATAAATGTACAAGATTAATAATGTATATATTATTATTCGATCTATGCACGTCCACAATTATTAATAAATTCGTATAAATTATACTAGTACAATATCCGTGTATTACACGGGTGTTGAATTATAAAGTTTGTGAAAAATATTAAATTTTTTATTTTTTTAAAAACTAAAATAATTTAATTTTATATAAAACATTACTTTGGGTTTTAATTAAAGTTCGTATAAATTATATGAGTGCAGGTGTATATATTATTTAACATCACAAGTAGACGGTGACAATATCACGTTTTATAAGTTTTATCATTAATAAAAATAAACAATATAAATTATTTTGGAATGACATATTTACTAATAAAACACATATTTACGAACAGCTAATTAGCCTACTAAAGCAGCTTAGGAGCTAAGAGCTGAATTCAGAGAAAGACGTATGCGTTGAAACGACTGTAACCCAAAATGAATACAAAAAACGCACCCACAAG